ACGGTCTGTTTGCCGCCGGTTTCCAGAAGCACGTTTTGCAGGAGCTTTGCCCACTGCAGCCTTCAGACAGACAATAAAAAAAGCCAGCGAGAGGCGCAGCGCTTTGGGTGAGGAGGGTGACGAAGAGGGGGGTAAGACCGATGGGGGTTGAGGGGGGGGAAGTGAGGCAGCAGGGGAGGAAGGCAATGAGGAAACAGAGACCCGTGCCGGCATGTCCCAGCCTCGCAAGTGCCAAGCTTTACACCGGGGCACAAAGCGCAGCCACGTTGCCCGTAACGATGCCGGGGGGCTGCCTGCTTGCAGCAGAGCAGCGGGGCTGCGGGTGACGGAAGGAACAGCTTCTCCCTGCAGAGAGGTGGCCAGCCAGCGCCTTGGTGTCGGGACAAACGCGGCCGTTCCCTTACGCTTCTAGGGAGAAATGCACAAGGAGTGGAAGTTCACCCACAATAGCTCTTTCCAGGGGAACCAAACTGCTTTCGGCTGGTGCTGATCAGTCCATCGGTGAAAGTGGATGGGCCTTCCGGTCTGCTGAAAAGTGGAAAGCAGCATCCCCAAACCGCTCTGAAGAAGATGACTACCACGTAAGTTTAACAGCTTGTGCCTCTTTTAATGCAAACACCACTTATTTGTACATGTATAGACAGTAAAATACAAAGGGTTAGAAAACAGGCTTCATTATCAGCCCCTAATTCTAACGTACTGTACGTTAATCCCTGAGAGCACCTGTCAATTGTATGTCTCCTGCAAGTGATACCCAGAGTGCAAATTCAAGTGTTTGCCTGCAGCACAGGTTGCTTTTCAGATACTGAATCTGAACGCTAACTCTTCAGTACGCTGGGCTGGCAGTAAACAAAAATTAATAAACCATTCAATCCAGTGTACCAATTAAAAATCCATCCTAATGTCTTTGCCATGGTCAGCTGAAAGATTGTCTTCCTACTTTCCAAAGACATGAGTTCAGCTTATATTCTGGTCACACCATATCCATTACAAAATTGGTGCCTATGAATTGCACGGCACTGATGCACTTGCCAACCAAAATCCTCTTTATATTGATAGGAGTGGGCAGGTTTATTAGCAGGGTGCATATTCCTTCAGCTCTGACCTGGGAGGCTAGCTGGCAATGTGGTCTGGCCAGCAGAACTAGGCCGGCGAGAGGTACAAAGAAGAGGCTGTGTGGAAAAATCCTACTTTCACACGTCTGCCGTAACCCCTGTCGAGCCCCGGCCCTGCAGACGCCAGCTAGCAATACCAGTCTGGGCACCGGTTTTCAATCAGCTGGATTTATTTCTCCTGTGACACCTACAGTTTCATTACAAGTTCAGCAAGACCGCGGCCAGCCTTTGTGCTGTGGGAGTAAAAGATGGAAAAGTTTTCCGTCTCTTTAATTGAAGGGAGAAGCTGGTGACAGCAGCAGCTGGGGTCTGCCGGGGCTCTGGCGGAGCAGCGCCGTCAGGAGAACACACCACAGCACATTTCATTCCAAACGGGACCAAAGCCTGAGCAAAAACACAGCCTGAGCGTGTGCTCTATGACTTGCTGTTTACGTTTGACCACTGCTTCTCTGAATCCGGTCTTTCTTCAGCAAGCAGAAGGTTTACAGCCTGCCCTTCTTGGAATTTGCCAGGGTTTGGCACACCGTTCAGACTGACTGCTGGTAAAATCAAAAGAAGCCTTCACGTGGACCACAAGAACCTGCAGCAACCTGCGTGAATGGCCACTTTGCGATGCACTCCTGTGCCAGGGAAGGTTTTCTCCCAGTGCAGAGACAGAGGGGTAAGGTACTGCCCTCTCCGGGCACCGCCAAAGCTCACAATGACATCTGGCCACGGTTTCCAAACGTTGGCGGCCGAGCTGCCTGATACTGCATCTCTGACCGGATGTTCATAGCGTATGGCTGGACTTGATACCTGGGAAAATTGCCTGAACTTCTTGAAGGTGCATAATTTTCCTGTCCTGGCTATAATATGGAAACGCTCCCAATAAACCCGGTGGGGTTTTGTAACAGGAGCTTAAATATCAACCTAAAACAAAGCCCACCTGTGACTCACCATCGCCCTCTTTTCACAGTTAAACACAATGACAAAAAAATTCCCTGAGACTAAAGAGGAGACAACAGACAGCGGATACAGGGGAAACACCATGGGGGAAGCAAATCTTGGGTGACGGCGGCATTCAAAAATCAGCTCAGCTTCTCTGTTGCTCCAACGAAATCAGTCCCTGCTCCTGATTTGTACCTGCAGAGGATGTGAATACCTCAACTACAGAAGTATTTCACAGGCAGCCCTTCTTGTATTCAACAGAACAAACAACAGCATTAAGAACTGCATCCATACAGACTGTATAGAGCCATACAGCTTAATACCTATCCTGTCTTAAACTTTGATTACCGAAATTAAAATAAAGTGCTTAGTATATTCAAAACAACTGCAGACCTGGATTTTCACTGTCCACCAACACTGCGGTATATTTTAAACTTTTCATTATCACTATAAAACCTTGCAATACGTCTACCTAAGCAAGGAGAGGGAGGAATGTCTAGTGTCAAAAGCACAGCTCCTTAATTTTGTCCATTACAAAATGAACAACCACGAAATACGATCCTTTCACACGCATGTTGTTTTTCAAGCTGTTTGATCTCAGTCATTCACCGGGAACTGGGAAAAAAGGAAGCCACAGAAGGACTGCACCACTCCACGCTTCCCGTCAACAGCAGCTAGGTAAACTGAGCAAGTCTTCCACCTCCAGACGCCCTCCCGCTCTGCCACCAGACACACCGTGGCCCAGCCCTTGCCCTGTTCCTGCACTGTAAAGGCCATTATTCAGTATTCCAGCTCCGCGAGCAGTGGGCACGCACGAAGGCATGCAGCCTGTTACCTTCCTCAGATAACAAGACTAACGGCTCTAAAACCTTCCAAGCAACTGCCTTTAAATCAGGTCCTGCACCGGGCAGGAGACACCTGCCTCTGTTTTTGAGCCTCCGCTGCTCTTCTCTTCTCCTGTTCCTCTGCCTTCTTCCGCTCCTCTTTCAGCTCCTTGTATCTCCATTTGGGAATCTGTAAGTAGGGATCGTCCTTTGCACTGCTCCTCCTCCTCGCCTTTTCTGGCTGGAAGGTGGGCGGGGGAGCCTTGCAGATGCGGACTTTGGGGATGACAAACCCCGGCCTGACGCTGCTCCGCCGGAGCAGGTGGAGCGGCAAGAGGCTTGCCTTCCTGCTGGCTACGGTGCTCACCTGGGAGACCGCAAGGCTGGCGGGCTGCAGGCTGGGCCGCCGGGCCCTCTTCTTGGGGGTCCGCGGGGCTCTGGGTTTTATGGCTTCTCGTAGCTGCTGAAGTGGTCTTTGTCCTGGGATCGGATCTCCTCGGCTCGCTGCTTCCTAAGGATCTCTTGCACAGCCAGCCGGCGCTTCCCCACAGAAGGTGGGCTGCCCGGGCACACTGTCCGGCATGACAGGGCGACGAAAGGACTGCTCAAGCTTGTCGTCACCTTCACCATGTGATCGAGGACCCCGTCTTCTTCTGGGCCGTAGAAAGACCGGAATGAGACAGCTGCCCTCACACACTCGGAAATCCTCTGCAAACAGCTTTTTGGCTCTGCAGCCTTGGCAAGAAGTTCCTTCATTTTTGGCCATTCTGGTTTATATTGCTCACAAAACTGCTCCGGGCATGGCCTGTCCATCAGCTTTTGCATGATGAAGGCAGATTCTGATCTTCCTGTGTAACAAGCCCATTCCCATGGAGTCAGTCCACGGCTTGGGTCAGTCGCGTGAACGTTGGCCCCTCAAAGAAAAGAAAAACAGTTAGTGTTACTTAATGAATCTGCCCACACTTTTATTGCTATGATCAGAGATGAATCAGCCAGATCTCTGCAAGAACTACAACACACTATATTTGTGTAAAAATGAACATGCAATAAGGAGAGATCAGGGTTCCTGACTTTCTAAACTCTTGATTTATTTAGAAAATAATAAATGAAATTTAGGCTGTATAAATTAAATTCTCTTAAAGCAATGCAAAGAATGATGCAATGAATTTCAACTGCATTGAATGTTGCCTGCTGTTTTAAAATCCATTCACTCAGGCTCATAAGAAAAGAGTGACAAATACGGAAAGAAACAATTCTGTACACAAAAATCCTTCCTGTACAGAATAATGGGCTTTGAACTGAACGCTGCCACTCAGAAGAGAGATCTTAGGCTAATGATCACAAGTTCCATGAAAATATCAACTCAGTGCTCACTATGGCCCAAAATAGCAAACAAAATACAAGAAAAAACAGGAAAAAAAGAGGAAAAAATAGAGAAAACACCATGTGTACAATTCAGGTTCTTTTATCTCTGAAAGGACAGTGTAGAATTAGAGAGTTAAGAGGACGGTGACAACGGTGATCAAATGTAAGGAAAGTTCCCATACATGTCAAAGAGTGTATAATGGGCGAGATGGACCTTCAATCTGAGCCCAGAACAGCTGATCTCATCTACCTTAGATCACCACCCCTGAGGAAACAAAGTTATTGTTAGCAAAAGTACGCTAATATCGCCAAGTGGACCAGCTGTAAGAGGTGACTGGGATGCATGCTAGTCAGTAGAGGCTTAGACATCTGAAGTACAGTGTTTGGTCCTGGAAGGAAATGATTTCTAGTGGTTATTATCTTTCAGCCTGTCCTTCCCCCATTCTCAATTTATGATCTTTATCCATCCAATTCTGACATGTGTCCCCATCACTATTCTTTCTTCTCATATATTTCTGCATTCTTTTCCAGCTTTGCCTTCCTTCTGATGTCTCCATGTTCCTATAAGCCCCCTCACACGGGTTTCCGCCCCTGTTCTTCACTCTTTTGCTTGCAAGCAGGGCTACATTCTTCTCCTGCAGGGCACCTGGCTGCCTGAAGAGAGGACACAAGAGTAACAGGATGAGCAAGCATCCTAGTCTACTCTGCTTTATCCTTCACAACTTCTGTAGTACTGTATCCAGTGCTGCCACATTCCCTGGCAGCCAGAAAGCTTCAGGGAAGTCCCCTCAGTTCTGGTATTTGGGTGGGAGTGCGGGCATTTGTCAGTGAGGATGGTGTGTGCCTAGTTCTGCTCACACCGAAGAGCTCTGTAAAGGACAGCGGAAGCTCAGAGGGCACCTTTGGAAGAATCTCTGCAGAACGACGAGCAGCAACAAATGGTTTTGGAAGCTGAAATCAGTGAGACCTGGTCACAAATGCCCAACAGGTTACAGCTGGTGAATGCTAAAGGGTAAAGATGTGTCCGAAAACTAGCTCAGTGTTGCTAATCAAAAAAGAATCTCAGAGACATGTCAAGGACTTGACAGCCAGCACCATATCCTCTGCATCGCACCCAAGTGATCCTGGACACACCGCCTGGGCACACTCATCTTGATGTTTTAAAGTATATGGGGGTCTGGGTGAATGAATGAAATCGATAGGACAATGAGTGAATACTCTCTGGTTTCAGGCAGTCACGTTCTTAAGCTGCAAATGCTTTGGTTTATACTCCACCTTTAAACTTTGACTGATCTCAGAGGGAGCTTTGCAGGCTCCAGAACATAGGCTTTGTTCAGCAGATCTGCAGCATGTTCCCTGGGACAGGCATGGACACTTGGCCCAGCTGCTTTAAACGTAACTGAGCTCTGTAACATTGAGTTGTGGTTCACACGTATCACTGGCCTTGTAGATAATTTCTGGGTTTCTTGAAGGAGTTTCAAGCTGGGATATGAACGGGCTACAACATTTGACTTCTTGAAGGGCTTCTCTATCAGTTGAAGCACCATTTTCAAACAGCCAACACAAAAATGACCTACACAGATCTTGTCACAAAAGAAAAGACATTCTGTCCCATTGCTTTGGAAGAGGGAGATGTCCAGAGACTGAGACACGAGGAAAAGGGCAGAGAAACATCATGATAAATTATGGGCTTTGGGGTGGATTACCTTGGTGACAGCATTTCAGACTAGCATAAGGGGGACTAGATATAAGGAATGCTAGCCAGGAACCAGTTTGCAACGGGTCCAGTGTAACCTTCACCACAAAGGATGTTTTGTCATTACAGAAAAACAGAGGAAAAGGAGAACATGGGGAAAGTGACCAAAAGCTCAGTTTAAACCCTATTAAGTACCATCTGATTCCTAAGAGTCTGAAAAAATCCCAAAAAGGAGGATGCTAGAGACACAGACCAAGAGTGAATGTGGATGAAGACCCTCTAAGCAAAAGAGCTGATCTCAGTTTAAGTGTAATTAAAGTGAAATTTGCAGAAAGGACCACTCAGAGAGAAAGCACAGGTTCATTGCAGGGAGCCAAGCATGGGGTGCAGACTGGAAGGCAGAGAGGAGGCAAAGAGGGGGAAGATTTAATGAAATCAAAGAGTTCATTAGTTGTGGACTGAAGAAAGCATCGCGAGATCTCACAGGCAGCACGGTTTGATGAAGTTCACGACTGCAGAAGCTACAGACAAACCAGTGAGGGGAGGAACAAAGACATGTTCTCCTGCTCCACTAGCCCATTTTTGAACCATCCTACCCAGGCTCCCTACCTCTGAACCTCTCCCACCTCAGGCTAGCCTCTTGTCCTGTCCCCTCTGAACACTCACCAGGGTCTGCGCTCCCTCCCACTGGAGCTGACTGGGAAGATGGCAGATTACGTGGAAGTTGTTTCCTTGTTGTACATGTAACAGGCAAGGATTTACCACAGGAAGAACAGCAGCTAAAGGAATTGTCTCCAAACATAAATTTTCATGAAGAGCACGCTTTGCTTGCAAACAAGCAAGAGGTATAGACAGCTGCTTACCGTTATCTTCAAGAAAAAGACATGCCAGCTCTGACACGGTGCAGCTGTGAGACCTCGGATCAGAGCTGTGCAAGAAGAGCTGTGTGAGCAAGTGCTCACTGCGGGTTCCCACCTTTGCTTGGGGGCTGCATTTGAGCTCGGACGCTCAGCTCCAGTCCTTGCCTGAGCTATGCCTGTGCCCAGCCACATCCCTCACTGATTTGGACCCTGATCCACAGACTTCATTTCTTGTTTTGACCTCAGACCTACCTTGTCTCTATGAACTTGCCTGGTCACCACAGACCTGCCTGGCGATCCCTGCAGTACGCCTGATCCTGGTTATCATCACCAGCCCTGCTCCGTTCCTTCTAGAAGCACCTTAGTCAATAAGGTTAGTGCCTCTGTGTGCCTTGCTGTCACCCCGGGCTCACCTCTGCTCGAGGAGAAGCCCACCCCTGCTGCTCCCTGACAGATGCATCCCAGGTGTTTCGGAAGCGTTATCTCCGTAAACAGCGCTACAGACTATTGAAATCCTGATCTTTCAACAGAAATCGATGCTGACTTTGTGCCTTGTATCACAAAATCTCTTCTAAGTAGTGATTTACTATAGTGGTATTGATTTTCTGCACAAATCAGGAGACGTTTCTGAACAAACTTGTCATTCAGGAGAATGCCTCATCTGAAAGAGACGTGAATAGTCATGTCCCTTTTTTAAGTGTGATAGTAGTCTTATTGCACTAATTGTCATTTCAGTATAAATACAGCCCACAAGTTTTCTTTTAGAAAAACTGCATTTGTCACTTGCCTTGATTTTCCTATGAAAGTTGCCCTGAAGATGATTTTCAGCACAAGTAGTTTGAATACACATGCCCCTTTAGGATATCAATACCCTACCTGATTAAGAAGGTTTAATGTCCCTTGGGATGCAAAACTGACATCCTGACTTTAAAGACGGGGAGTGAAAGAGCTCAGGCATCTGTTACCGACCTGTTCTATGCGCCATATTTAAAGCCCAGTCTCCAGATCCACAGCCACTCCGATGACTTTACTAAAGCAGCACTGAGTTTACACTGCAGATTACCGCAGGGCTTGACACGTGAATTACAACCAGCATTTCTGTGCTCCTGCTTGGGCTGGCTTGCTTGCTGAACGCTGGCAGCAGCGCGGCCCTGGCAGCGCAGCAGCCCGTGACAAACTGCCGATGAGCGACGGGGTTCGCCCCTTACTCGCTGTGCACTCACGGGTAGCAAATTCACATTTCCAGAGACAAACTTTGAAAGAGCAAACATTACGGCCAAGTGTCTCAGACCGCCTTAATCTTGTAGTGATTGACCTTGGCCACCCTCCAGGAACTCAAATTTCAGAAAGAGCAGTCACTTCAACAACCCAGCTCCAGCCATCTGTCACACATTGCCGTTACCTCTTCCCCATCTGACTGTGTTAAAGCCATGCTTAGGCGGCCAGGAAGGTGAGTTATTTTCCTTTACGGACCTCCTGCATTGCCATAAGTAGGTGCCCAGCAACAGAGGTCTTACCCAAATCACTGAACAGGTACTGGATTTAAAATCCTCCTGGCTGTAACTCTTTTCTAAAGACACATACCTGCTTTGTAGCTGTGCAAGTAGACCCACAGCTGATTATGGGTGTTTTCCCCCCACATTTCCATGCGTGCTTAAGTTTTAACATAGAATTTTGCTGGTTTATTTGTGAAATTGACTTGTTGACCTAATCTTTTAATAACTATTTCTTTCACCTTCTTCAGCAAACTAGCACTTTATTGTCAGCAGCCACTCAGTATCCCCTAAGCCCCAAACTAATTCTAAATCCATTCTGCATGAGCAGCTCCCTCCCTCCCTCCGTTTCACCAGACTGCACAGTGCTAAAAAATAATCAGGTATTAAAATAGGTGCAGGTAATTTAATATACTTCCTTTGTGACCCCTACTTGGGGCTGAAAATGTGAGGACCTGCAAAACACTCACCAAAACACGAATATAAATGGCAATTTAGAAACTCAGAGTATATTAACTCTACAGCTCTTTAGGCAATGGATGATCTTTGGTATCCTCACTACCTCCGATGCACAAACAGGCTGCTACAACGTTCTGCAGGTAAACTTGATATGGAGGCTAACAAAGCCATTTTCTGGCTGGCTAAAAGTTTGTTCTCCCCAGTATTTTGTTTTCTTATGAATCACGAAAACAAGAAGGTAGCTATTCAGATGCCAGAGGCAGCAACCACACAGTGAACTTTACTATAGATACTTTTTGTACAAGGAGTAACAAGGACTGAGTTATCTACAGAGATGGAGATGTTGTGAAATAGCTTCTAGTGACCAGAACAGAAAAAGCAAGCTTCCACCAGATTTCCAGCGGTAGTAAGTGAAAGCCATGATACTGTCAGGTCAATTTGACAAGTCATAAGGTCTTGGGATTGAAGTTTCATTTTACATGATAACTTATAATGGGCACTGGAAAATTCTGAACTAGCATCTGCACGAAGTATTTGTTAGTCCAGAA